TTACTACAAAGAAATGAACTACTGAATTAATCTAAACACCTGCTGAGCAAAGAAAGCCAGGCATGGAAGAGTGCATAGTGTACAATATTACTGACATAGTATAAAACTCTAGAAAAGACACCATGATATTAAATCTGTATTGAGCAAGAGTAGGTTGGTGGTGAACTGGGGTCTGCAGTTGGGTGAAAGATTGATGGGAAGGGGGTCAATGACAATTTTGGCATTGTGGAAATATTCTACATCTTGGTTAAGTGGAAGTTAAACAGATATTTACATCTGTGCAAGTTCACTAAACTATACTTTAAAATGGGTACATTTTATTGTATGTAAATTTTACCTCATTAAAAGTGATTAATAAATAATTTCATTCTCAGTAACAGTAGTCGAAACTCTCAAGTTTATTTATGCTGAAGAAACTTAAGTAGGATCTTTCTTAGGTATCCTCAGAGTTTCATAACACATTACTTCTTCTCTAAAGTAGTATTTGCTTTAAAGGTTTTAACAGTTTCTGTTTGCAAAAAGTATTATCAGTTGCAGTTGGACAATATTAAATGGCACGTTTACAAGACCAAAAATTAAAGTCCTCAAAAGCTACTCTATTTTAACATAAACTTGCATGACAAATAGTTTTCAGTGCAACAACCTGTCATGTTCTGCAACCGGCCTTTTGTCAGAGTTTTGATCCTTTAACACTTACCTCCTTCCCCGTTTTATTTCTTCTTTAAGAAAACAAACTTACACTTGTGTATTAGCTTACAATTACTGTAAACAAATGACCACAAACTTAGCAACTTAAAACACCATTTATCATCTCAGTTCTGTGGTTCAAAAGTCCAGGAACAGCTGAACTGCGTTCTCAGCTCAGTATCTCACAATGCCAAAATCAATATGTCGATTTGATTTCAAGCTGGGGATGTGTTCTCATCGCAAGCTCAGAGTCCTCTGCCAAGCTCATTCAGGTTGTTGGCAGGTTTCAATTCCTTGCAGCTACAGGACTGAGGTACCCATTTCCTTGCTGGGTGTCAGCAGGGTGACATCCTCAGCTCCTTAGAGGCTATCTTCAGGTCCTAGCCACCTCTTGTTCTCATGACGTGGCAGCTCACTTCTGTTTTTTTTTTTTTTTTTTTTTTTTTTGAGACGGAATCTCGCTCTGTCATCCAGGCTGGAGTACAGTGGCCGGATCTCAGCTCACTGCAAGCTCCGCCTCCTGGGTTTACGCCATTCTCCTGCCTCAGCCTCCCGAGTAGCTGGGACTACAGGCGCCCGCCACCTCGCCCGGCTAGTTTTTTGTATTTTTTAGTAGAGACGGGGTTTCACCGTGTTAGCCAGGATGGTCTCGATCTCCTGACCTCGTGATCCGCCCATCTCGGCCTCCCAAAGTGCTGGGATTACAGGCTTGAGCCACCGCACCCGGCTGGCAGCTCACTTCTTCAAAGCCAGGAGGGGAATGGAATCATATAACACAATGTCATCACAGGAGTGATTATCCCATCATATTCACAGGTCCTGCTCACTTCAAAGGGGACTGTGCAGAGTATGTACACCAAGGGGTGGGAACCAGGGTGCCATTGTAGAATTCTGCTTACCACAGTTTGCTTTTTCTGCTGTCCAAAAGTGAACTGAGGTCCACTTATTTTTATTAGATTTGATTTCTCAACTTGTTTCATATATAATATGAAACAGCGGCCAGGTATGGTGACTCACACCTGTAATCTTACCACTTCAGAAGGCCGAGGCAGGTGGATCTCCAGCCAAGGTGTTTGAGACCAGCCTGGGCAACAGGGAGAAACCCCAGCTCTACAAAAAAAAAAAAAAAAAAAAAAAAAAAAAAAAAAAAATTAGCTGGGAGTAGTGGTGCGTGCCTGTAGTCCCAGTGACTCCAGCGACTGAGATGGGAGGATTACCTGAGCCCAGGGAGGTTGAGGCTGCAGTGAGCCGTGATCACACCACTGCACTCCAGCCTGCGAGTGAGTGAGACCCTGTCACAAAAAATAAATACATAAATAATAAATAAAAACACAGACTTTTGTCTTAACTGAGAGGAGCAAGATGGATGAGACACAGTTTGCTAACGTGGAAAAATGATATGAGTTTTGCTTAGTCATCACAAAATGGGATCAGAAGTTTGAAATGCAACACTTCTTGCTCAGTTCTAATAATGAACACCAACTCTGCTCTGGCTCGAGACATGAAATGGTATTTGATATTGTTTGGAGCCTTATAGAGATACTTAATTTTTTAAAATGAAAGATTTGCCAAAATCTGGTAACTGTCAACACAATACCTATACAGCAATGCTATAAATCAATTATAGAAACAATATGCAGTCAAAGGGGAAGTTCAACTGGGTCTCTAATGCTTTATGTAAAAAAAATAGATCTGAGGAAAACAGAGTAGGATGTTCACATTTGCTAATTATGGATAGCAGTATATAAGTGTTATTATTTTCTCTTTCATGCCTTACATAAAGTAGATCATTATGATATATGCTGACACATTCCTTTTTGCAAAATCTCCTACATTTTTCCTGTAACTTCCTTAGGAATAGTAAGCTCTGAGTATATATTCATGAGAAACTAAGACTCAGCTCTTACAGGGGTATGTATGTTTCAGAGTGTTCCTGAACCTACTAGTTGGTGCCTCAGTGGTATGCCATTACTAAGATATCTAGTTCCATTTTAAATGGCATTTCGGATCTTTCTGGGGCAAAGTAATTGCAGTGTTAAGTCATACTCTGAGAAGCACTCTCATACCCGAAGAAAATTTTACAGGGTGGATTACAATAGGCTTCCACTAAAAGCTTTCCCCACTTACCAGATGAAAAGCAGGTTAAAGTGGTGTTGCTCCTTCCCGTTATGGGAAGTTGGGCCAATTTATGACGTAGGAGCAAGGGATCACTTCTCATGACTCACCACCCTAGTCACCGTCTAAGATGAGATTGCCTCAAGTATGTTTTGAGAGCACTAAGTCTGTGGAAAGCTCACGGAAATTGAAACCAAACCAAACCAAAACCCAAAACTCAAAGTTACCATAGTCAAATACGTTTAGGAAGTATTCGATCGAACAGCTTTATCTCAAAGGAATATAGGATTCTTTCTAAAATTTGTGTTTTACAAATGTATCTGATCACAAAACTATTTCTTTCCAAAGATGTCTTTTCACTGCTTTGAGAAACATGCTCTAACAAGATTATCTCTGATTTTTAAAATCTTTGAGCAGGCAGCGAAGAAGCTGATCTTTCAAAAAGTCATGATGACAATCATGGGCAAGCTCTCCTTACCTGATAATTCACTGGCTCTCAAAGGCTGCTCTGTTATCTCCAGTTCCTGGCTAGCTGTTTCTGGATGCTAAAATAAAAAAGAAGGACCTCCTATTTCTTTCTTTTCTCTTTGCTGTTTCTTGAAAATAATTAGAGACAGATTATATGACCGTGGCTTTCCCCTGAGTATATCTGGGGTTATTCAAACACATTCCTGCTGCTTGATACCTGAACTGACATACACACTAAGTGATGTGTTTGTGAGTGGCAGGTCACAATGCAATTGTGTAAACGTTTGTAGAAAAAGCAGGATCCAATTCTTTTACTTAAGCCGGGAAATGGTTTGGTTAGACAGAAGAGAGAAAAGCTAAAAGATCTGCTTGATATTCACATTTTGTCCTGATAATAGGGAGCTACTAACTTAATCATGTGATGAAGTGTGGCTTATTTGAGGGACAGTAAAAGCCCTGAAAGAGACTAAAGGGTGAAATATTTTATCTATGTGGTGGCAGCAAATTACAGAGGGCTCTGGATGCTCGGATGAAGAGTTTACCCTTAGTTCTCTTTTTATTGGAGCACCACTGGGGGTTTATGAGTTAGGGTACAGGCTTCCTCAACCTCAGCACAACTGGCGTTTTTGGCCAGATAATTCTTTGTAATGGGAAGGAGAGGCGGCTCTGGCCTGTGCATTATAGGATATTCCGCAGCATCCCGGCAGCTATCTACTAGATGCCAGGAGCATCTCCCCCTTATCAAATTAAGACAGCCAAAAATGTCATCAGACACTGCCAAATGTCCCCTGAGAAACAAAATTTTTACCTGATTGAGAATTAAAGAGCTGAAGAATGACAAAATAATTGGTGTTTAAGAAAGACTGTCCAGCTGTGGTTGCGCAGAATAAACAGGAGGATGGCAGGACAAGAGCCTGGGAGAATATATTAGAGGCTGTCCCTTTACCTTAGGTATGGTATATTGTAACAGTAAGGGCCTCCAATGAAGTACATTTCTCTGTATCCCTGTTTTTTTGTAGTCCCCTCCCACATTGACTTAGGGCTTGGCCATGTGACTTGCCAATGTGACTTGTCAATGGAATATCAGCAAATATGACACAAGCTAAAGCTTGAAGAGCACTTGTACATTGGGGCTTACTGGCTTGGAACATTGCCACCATGTGACAAAATCCATGCTAGCTTCCTGAAGATGCATGGCCCAGCCAACAGCCAGCACTAGCTTCCAGAAAAATGAGTGAGGCTCTATAACCATCCAGCCCCAATTGAGTCAACAAGAAAGCCACCTAAGAGATCCCAGGTCAGCCAGCAGACAAACCACCTAGCTGAGCCCTGCCCAAATTGATGATAATGGAATTATGAACAAATAAAATGGTAGCACTTTTAAATCACTACTGCTGTTATGCAGTGATAAATAACTGATATCGTAGGTCTGAAGTATATTAACATTTGTAGAAATAAGAATAAGAAAATGCATGCACAAGACATTTGGAATAATTCGTGTTTTTTTTGTTGTTGTTGTTTTTTGACGTAGTCTTGCTCTATTGCCCAGGCTGGAGTACGGTGGTGTGATCTCAGCTCACTGCAACCTCTGCCTCCTGGGTTTGAGTGATTCTCCTGCCTCAGCCTCCCAAGCAGCTGGGACTAAAGGTGCCCGCCACCATGCCCAGCTAATTTTTTGTAATTTTAGTAGAGACAGGCTTTCACCATGTTGGTCAGGCTGGTCTCGAACTCCCAACCTCAAGTGATCCACCGACTTCAGCCTCCCAAAGTGCTGGGATTACAGGCGTGAACCACCGTGCCAGGCCAATTCATGTTTCTTGATGACTCTTCAATGAAGGGGCTTAGGGAAAGGGCAAAGCAAGTCACAGAACATAAAAATTCAGAAATGAACACAAAGGTCAGAGTGAAAATTCAGGAATAAACTTGTGCAAGCATTCTTCAAAAAAGCACTTCTGCCTAAGCAGTTAAAAACATGAAAGCATCTATTTTGAAAGACATAGATATCCATTAATTGCTAACAGTAGAAATATAATAATAGTTCAAAGATTTAGTTTAATAAGTATATTTGTAAAGCTTTAAAGGCATTACCAAACTAGCCACTTTTTTAATTCATATGGAAAATCAATCTTTAGAATAAACAGGAAAGCACATAAGCTCAAAATCAATAGCAACTTATATTGCACTAATGGTAAGACTCATTTCAATGTAGTAGCTGTCCAACTGTATACAACTATATTCACTTAACAATTAGGTTGCTTAGACCAGGACTTCTAATGGAATGCCTCTCATAATTTACCAGTTAAATCTGCAGATGGGGGTTATCAGTAGTAGTTACAGTTTAATAGAAGCTGTTAGCGTTGAACATGTTTATTGTACAGTTCAAGAGGAAATAGGTCCTCAGATGTTTAGCACTTAGCTTTATGTTTAAGAACACTAGCCTGGTAGGAACGTGTCAGTAATATCCCTTACTTAATGATCGTATTTTTAAAAAATCAAAGTAATAAACGATAAAGAGAATCCAGAATGAGATAAAAGAAAAACACAGAGTCAGAAAGTCTAAAATGTGGAGGAAATGGATAATGTAAATAAAGTAAAAATGAGCCAAATGTATCTTCACAGGCTATGAGAATCGCCTAAAGGCACGGTTACACAAACCATAAGACAGACTGAGGGTCTCCTGGAAATGGATGGACAAAAGTGTTTAAAAGGATCAAAATGGGTGGATTTTAAAGATCTCATATCCATTAAGCAATCAGTATTAAAGAAACAATAGTATTGTCGAAAAAAGTGTTTAAAACCAAAGGGTAACATACCTTTGGATATATAATTTCCATAAAGTTTGTTTAAAGAAAAAAACCTCCAAAACGACCTGTCTTTGTTTAAACAATGCTGCCTGCCAAGCGATTTTGTTTATTAAATTTTTTCTCAGGTTTAGGAGACAAGGATTGAGAAAAAATGTGGAATTGGAGATCTCGAAGATATGTGTTTAAGCAGTGGGACCTTAACGTTAGACGCACAGAAATGCGTTAACGAAAGCCAGTAAAACTGAGAATGGGGTCTTCTGGTAAATCTTGTACTTTCGTTTGTAAGAAACTTGTATATAAAGAAGTTTACCAAGTTTCGGGAATAAGATAATAAAATGCACTTAACCCATTCGCAATCCTACCCCTACCTACCTTACCTCTGTCGGGTTAGCTTCTCACGCGCGCGCCGGCACCTTCTGTGAAGCGGGGTGCTGGGCTCTACCCAAGCAGCGCTTACGCGGAAGGGCAATGCTCCCCCCGCACCCCCGTTCAGGCCAACCAGGTCTCCCCTTCCTACGCGGAAAGCAGCGGCGGGCTCCGGGGCGTGGGAACTAGAGAAGGGAAGGCGTGCGCTCCTCCTCCCCAGCTGGGCGGAGCCGCACCCGCCCGGAGAGTGGTGAGGGCCACCGCGGCGCGCGGGCGCTCAGTCGCGGGAGGAGCTCTTTCGCGGTGCCCGGAGCCAGCGCACACCCCACCGCCCCCGGGACCTGTTGGGGACTGGCCCGAACCGTCGTCGAAGGGAGCCGCCCGGCAACCCCCGACGTCCCTCGCCCCGCCCGACGTTCCCGCTAGTGGTCAAACCAGCCGGACAAGCCAAACTCGCCGGGTCTCCCGGCAGCAGCAGGTGGCCCCGTCCTTCCAGGGAGGGCCGTGCGCCCCGCGGCGCTCCGGAGCCCTCTCGGCCGCCCCCGCCAGGCGGGATGGAGGCGGACGGAGACGGAGAGCAGCTGGCCCGGCTGCGCTCGGTCTTCGCCGCCTGCGACGCGAACCGCTCGGGACGCCTGGAGCGTGAGGAGTTCGAGTCACTGTGCGCGGAGCTGCGGGTGCGGCCGGCCGACGCCGAGACCGTATTCCAGCGGCTCGACGCCGACCATGACGGCGCCATCACATTCCAGGAGTTCGCACGTGGCTTCCGCGGGGCCCTCCGCGGGGGGCGGCGCCAGGACTGGGGTCTGCTGGAACCTGCGCCCGCCGTGGCTGAGGCGGGGCCCGAGACCCCCGACAGCGAGGAGGACGAGGACGCGGAGGCGGCACAGGCCACCTCGTGGGGCCCGGCGAGTCCCGACCGGGCTTGGCAGGATTTCCAGGCGCGACTCGGGGAGGAAGCCAAGTTCATTCCCAGGTGCGAGTGTGAGCTGGGGCGGGAGGTGATCCTGGCGCTTCCTGCTTTCTTCTTCCCACTTTCTTGCAGGTGTGCAGACCCAATGCACTTTACACTTCTCTGTAAGTTGCTTGTCTTCCCTCACCTACTCGCTTTGACTTTTCCAAGATCCGCTAGAGTTAAGCAAAGGGAGAGAGTCAGCGTTTGGGGAGAAAGTTTTACGTGCTGAATCCTGAGCCTGCGACGGGCAGCGTGTTAATTACAGGAGCTCTCCTGAAATCTGCAGCCTCTGGCGCCCCGCGCGGGTTTAGGCGCGCGCCCCACATCTCACCGCGTCCTGGTTACGTCACCTTCTACCCCAGGCCTTAGGCTCGCACCCCAGGGCTGGGGCCCGGGCTGTTTGCCAATTTGGCGTCCTCTGTAATAGTTTTCTGATTTGTTGTTTTCCTAAGACTGTATAGAAAAGGAAACTTTGTTGGGTTTTTATATTGCTGAACACAAATATTCATAGATGTACCTGCTAGGCATTTTACAGAGTTCACACGTTTAATTTTCATAACATCCCGAGAAGGTAGGCTGGCTTATTTCTGAACTTAGACTTAGAAATTAGACAGACGTTAAGGGACTTGCCCAGTTTAGCAGCAGAGATTTGACCCCACATTTTGTGAACTGAAAAACTCACTTTTTATGTGACGGAATAGAATGATAAAATGCCGCTATATTCTCTGCTCTTATTGCTCTAACAGAAGTAACGTGTCAAGTCACGGACTTAATTATCAGGAGGTAAGAGGATGCCTGCAGGTGGGATTTCAGGGCCTGGAGGGAGAGAGGCTCAGTTTTTCTTCTTTGAGCTTCATTTGCATTTGTCCATCCCTTGGCGTGGTGGGTGTCTCCAGCTGCTATTTTTCACTTCATTCCCCGGCGATACACACATTTCAGTGCTGTAAGTGTTTTTCTGCTTTATGTTTGGGGTTTAGCTGAAATTTTATTGAACTCTGGCTGTCGTTATTAAGACGCTCTGAAAGGCATCATTTTGGTTGGCACATCTGAGACGGAAGACTGAAAAGGAAGTATCCCTGGAAGGTTGTCAGTGTGCTTGTTCATTGGAAGTCCTCACTTCCTCCTCCTCCCAACTTCTCCCTCCAGCTTGGAAAGTGAGGGGAATATTGGGCATGGAGAGTGACTCACTGCCGTAGAAGGGTTGTGTAGAGAAAGTGGGTGGGTAACTATCTTTTCTATTGTTTACAGATGAGTTACTCCCCAACCAGGGAAGTACAAAATTAAAACACTGCTACAACCTATACTCTTTCTTTGAGTCATCTTTCATCTGTAACTTAGTTTGGGTGCAGCTAGTTTAAAAAGGTAAGAATTTTAGGAATGAGGCAAGGTGAGTCCATATCATATTGGATATGATGTATGCATACATGTGGATCTGTTTTTCACAGCTGTCTAGGCTCAGCAACAAATATTTCACATACAACCTTAAATGATTGAAATGACCTGGATCAGTGTACAAACCAGGACTTAATATTGTTGGCGGAATTATTATTATCATGTTGCCTTTCCAAACTCTTCAGAGATTACTACGTTTAATGGGCACTGGTGTCACCTGGTAGACTTGTGTCCTAAGCCTCACCTCACCTCCTGATGTGAGATTAACAAGTACAATATTTGTCTTCCTCTCATGTTCAAGTGGAAGAGATCTAAACTGCGTTGCTGCATCAGATTGTTACCATGGCAGCCATCCGCTGTTTTGGTAAATTGGATTAATTCTACTTCACTTCCTCATACAGCTGTTCACCTTTTCTTCCATCCATCCAAATGTGATTTAAATTTTTTTTTTTGTTATTGATAATGCTGTCGGCATTATTTCAGCCAAATTTATTCCACAGACTTTACCAATAGCCTGCCATATGTGAGATACTGGCTTGGGCACTGTCCTAGGTCACTGGGGACAAAGAGAAGGGTGGTATGTAGTTCATGCCTTCAGGATGCTCATGGTGTAGATGAAACATTTTTCCAACAACTTCATTGAAGAACATTTAAAGCCAAAGGAAATTTGTAGGGAACTCTCTGTATTGTGGACATAGCTCAACAGACGGCTGCAAGCAAGAATTTTCTTTAAAAAGTCATTAAGTTGTTCATGTTTGTACACAATATTTTGGGACTTGTTTTAATATAAAGTAGAGTTTCTTCTGAAGGGAGAATTGTCTTTCCAGGAAAGTGTGCCATTCCAACTTGTGGCTTTGTTTCCCACCTGGCACTCAATCTTATCCCTGGGGACAGCCTGCCCCAGGGCTATCCTGGGGAGTGTTCACATCCAGTTTGAGAATAACAGATATTAAATAGGAAAATGTTTCGTTCCTATAAAGGTAAAGCATGACACTGTTGATTTTCATTTAAAGGATCTTTCAAGCAAAATATTAAGCAATTTTGGATTAAACTCCCCAGTCATCAGTAATCGTGATGTTAGAGGGAAGATAATACGGCATCATGAAGCGATGAAAGTGGCCTTTGGGATGTGTGTCATTCTTGAGTTCATTTTCTCTTAGAAATTTGAGGGACTTTTTCTTTTGAAGGCTGAGGAAGGAGTGTCCAAGGAGCTGTGTGACATGGTAAGCTGAGCCTGGCAGGTGTGAAGGGTCTGCAAGGTGGACCTTGACCACTTCCTGGTCAGTTTGATAAGGTCAGCCAACAGGTGAAGGCAGCAGGACAATGCGATGTGGTTACATGGGGGAATTTGGGAGGGCAGTTGCTACAAGGCTAAGAAAAGTCCTGGAAGTAGGAAGAAAATGTGTGGGTGTTGAGGGTGGAGGGGCAGGGCAGAGAGCAAACTTACAATGTAGCCTTGCCAGTTTCTGATGCCTGGGTCATTGTCTTGGTGACCGGGAGTTTCATACTCAGGAGATACTCAGTAAATACTCAGCAAATGTTTGCTGAATGAATAGAAGATACCAGTAATCTTTGATTCTTGTTTCAGATATCTGCATTTTGAGAGAAAGTGTAGTTCATGCTGTGAGCTTTTGCAGATTTTCTCACTTTTTTTTTTTTTTTCAGTTACTGTTGTGAGCCGGTCATGGTGTTTAGAGATTGCCAAGAGAAGGAAATAGGCTCTCTCTGTGTGTGTGTGTGTGTGTGTGTGTGTGTGTGTGTGTGTGTGTGTATAGAGCATTTGATGGATGGCTGAGAGGAGGGATGAGGGTCTCTTCTCTGACCTTTAGTCAGAGCTGAAGTTTTCAGTGTTTTCTCAACTCCATTTGCAGCAATTTTGAGTGTTATCTGTGAATTGATTCACGCTGATAAATTAACTTGGAAAACCCCACATTCTCACAAACAGCAACGTGAGGGTGCAGCTGGCACTGGAACCATCATGGGCCTGTGAGTGGGCACAGGTATCCCAAAAGTGTCCAAAGCAGGGACAACCTCAGGTCAGGTACCTGCTGTGTGATAGGTATCAGTGATGGGTGACCTGCCAGGCGGTGCTGGGCTAGGATTTGTTGGGACATCAAAATCAGCACCGTTAGCTGTTTCGCATAGTTTGCGATGTTTCTACATGCACCATGTTGAAGGGGATTCTTTTATTTGGTAATTTAAAAACAAATTTAAATGAGAGGAGCCAAAACTTTCCATATGTGAATTGTATAGAGATTGGCAAAACGGCTTACCTTATTGAGGAAAGGCTCCCCCATGGGACAGCAATCCTATTTAATTGGGAAATTTTGAAAAACAAGTAGCTGCCGGTAAGCAGAGGCAAAGTTTTAGTACTAGTGAGGGTTGCTTCTCCATTTCCTCTTCTTGGGTGCTAGTTTAGCCCTTTTCAGAATGATTGCCTTGTTTTGTAATAGTGTAGTTCTTCACAGCTCCCTTAATTTACATGATACGGTGCTTGACAAGATAGAAAAGGGAGGGGAGAGATAGAGGCAAAGAAAGACATAAATACATCAGGAGTGAGCCAGAGAGCAAGAGAGAAGGCCAGAGATAGAGTGGCAGAGGGGGAAATGGTGAGAGGGAGTGAAACACAGAGATTGGATGGAGGGGAAAGGAAGAGAGACTGATGGATTCCATCTTGCCTCGGTTTCCCCTCTTTCCACTCAGTGAGCCTATGGCCCTGAGCCACCTTGAGATGAGAGAGGCAAATCAGCTCTTCCCTCTTTGATCTCAGCCCTTGAATATCTTCCACGTGTGAGCATCTTGGTGCTTTGTGATGTGTTTGTGGTATGTAAAGATGAATATATATATATATATATGTATATTTTCATGCTCATGGTCCTCATCCATGGAGGATGAGTACAACACCCACACATTTTCTTCCTACTTCCAGGACTTTTCTTAGCCTTATAGCAACTGCCCTCCCAAATTCTCTTGTGTAACCACGTCACGTCTGGTTCTCATCCAAGAAGAGAAGATGTGTTCTAGCCTTGCAACATGGTGGTGGGCTGCACCCAAGTCCTAGATATCAAGGGTATTTACCTTGAGTACCAGCTTTGGGATCTGTCACTGTGCTCACCGTAGGTTTTCTGGAGGTTTCTTTGCCTTTTCTGGATTCTGAACCAGGATCCTAACGTCTGTGTCTCTGTTTATGTCTGTACCTGGATCTCCTTGTTTTCTAACTGTTGCTATTCTGTAGCTTTTTGCTTTTTCTCTTTAATGTGTCCTCTGTCACAGTTATGTGTATCATTACTCTGCTGACTGGGAGAAACCTGTCTCTTAATAACTACAGCTCATTATTGGTGTATAGAAATGCTACCGATTTTTCTACATTGATTTTTGTATCCTGAGAATTAACTGAATTCGTTTATCAAAGCTTAGGAGTCTTTTATAGGAGTCTTTAGGGTTTTCTAGATATAAGATTATATTGTCAGCCAACAGAGATAATTTGACTTCCTCTTTTCCAATTTGGATGGGTTTCTTTCTTTCTCTTACCTGATTGCTCTGGCTAGGACTTCCAGTACTGTATTGAGTAGGAGTGGTGAGAGCGGGCATCCTTGCCTTGCTCCAGAATTTAGGGGGAATGAACCTTT